TTTTATTTTTAATATCAACACCTGACCCACTATCTTTTATTTTTGACGTGACAACGTCTTAAATTAGGTTGCGGCTGGGAGTCACTTATGAAAAAGTGTAACGCCCGGTAACGTTACGATGAGTCATCGAACGAGAGCCGCTAATACTAGCTTCAAGTTTATACTCGGTGCTGTATATATTCATCCAGGAGCTAGTATGCAGGATATTGGAATGTTACTATGGCAAGGACTCGGTCCGTACATTCACAACAGCCAGTACGTGCCACCGTTCGTGCAAGTTGATTCTAGTATACCGATTCTTCTGTGTGGTGATTTTAACAAAAACGTAAAGCCTGACAACTCGTTTCTTAAATTCATGAAAAATACGTATAATCTTGATTGCGTATCAAACGTTTCTAAGTCAACTACGTTAAAAGGAACAACTATCGACTTGACTTTCGCAAGACACATTACAGCAGAAACACTTCCTTTCATTTCATATTTCTCCTATCATCGTCCTATCCTCAACAAAATCACTCAAATAGGAATTAGTTAAGTTTTAGTTTACATGTACAATGTTTTAGTAAACAAAATATATTTCTATAGTTAAAATTTGTGCAATTCTTATTTTCATTCAATTCCTTGTTCCTATTGTGCAATTTAATTATATTCATATCAATAAATATTCTACCGTTGTCACGTAAAATCTTCGCCCGTAAAACCGACTTTACAGGCAACCATTGTTTTTTTTTTCTATTGTTTTTTCATGTGTTAAGCGTCTTTACGCAAATTTGGCCTTAAATACCCATTTCTTGATTTTTCGGGAAGCCATTGGGACCAAAAAATATTTTTGGTCGCAGTGGTTACAGCCTTCTCCACGCTGACGAGCGCCAACAGCGCGAAACGCGTTCGTGGATGGCTTTTCTTGATTTATCAAGAAATTGGGTTGGCCAAATATCACGGAGCAAGCTAAATAGACGTTTAGTTTATTTTTGCTCCACTAGATGGTGCTCTGCCATCTGAAAAGCACATGTGCTCGTGGTCAGGAGATGCCTTTTTTATTTTAATATATATATATTCCTTCCTACCATTTGTACCATATTTATTTTAAGTCGCGCTTCATTGCTCGCCTGTTGAAGGGTTTTTACCAGAAAGCTTGCACCTATGCATCAATAAAAGAAACTCGTCTTCCTTTACCATGTTTTTCGTCTAATTAACTACTCTGTACGCTTACTCTTCAGGTACTGTGGAGCTGATGTACTTTAGGAGTACTTTAGCAAGATTTTACATTGCAACGAATTGCTACTGCTACTAAAATATGCCAATTTGAACAAACAGTATAAAGATAAGCTACTGACATATTTTATTATATTTTACTTAAAGTTAGGGTTGGGATTTTGAAGCGCTAAAACATAAATTTTCTTAACGAATTATTTTTATGCATCCGGGAATGCCTGTCGCCAAATACGCCAAAGAAACGGCTGCCCAAGAAATTGTAAGTCTTAAGGAGATATCCCGTCTTTTAGCGAACTAATTAACATATTCCGAACTCATAGCAATGGTAGTGACTCTTTCCTGATGTATTTCTATATATAATGTCAAAATATCATCTAGATAGGTCAAATATTGTGAATACTTAGGCGGGAAACACACAAACATTAATAAGTAAACCTTTCATCTTTATTTATATCAATTTATATTAATAATGTATTTACATAAGTGTTAAATTTATTTTACATATGGCTAAATGTATATTGTTTATTCGTGAGAAATATCAATATTTTTGTTTTCATATATATATTACAGAAAGAATTGTAAAAATTTTGTTTGATTATTGTTCTTCGTTCTGTTCTGGCAAAATGTCTAAAGTGTTGAGCTCCTCACGGACATCAGGTGGAATTTCTATTCCAAACTCATTTATTATGGTCAATAACCTTGCCGTTTCCGACCTAATATCACGACTTTTACTCTGGATATAGGCATCTTTGGCTTCGACCTCTACCAGTTGTCTCTCTAATTCTGCAATCCTAGTCAAATGACTTCTCTCAGTTTGGCTACGCTTGTTTCTGCATGTAGTAGCATAACCTCTATTCTTCAGCGTTCTACGTCTTTTCTTGATGGCTGTGGTCTCTTTCTTAGATAATTTCATAGACTTAAGGCGTTTGTTGAGTTCTGGTACAGACAGCGTTAGCAGATCATTGTCGGAAATGGTACGAGAGGATGAAGGCTTGGAAGTTTGGCTGGAAGGAGCTTCCACCTACACAAACAAGAATTACAGATAATTCTATTATTACACTATTTAAAATATGAAAGGTAATGTTA